TCTCCCCAGTGTGGAGCTTCAGAGCCCCAGTCAGTAGATTCTCTGCAACCAGCCACAGCAGGGAATGCCTCCTTGGATATTCCCTGCTCTGATACAGTCACCATTCTCCCACCCAGAGTCCCTACAGATTAAATTCTGGCGCAAAGGGACAAGATTTGAACCCCCAGGTAGAAAGGGAGTTTGCTCAAGTGAACCTTACAAGCAGCACATCAGGTTTTTATGGTTGTCTTGGAGGGACTCTCTGACAGTGAAGGAAAAAGCACCTCCGATCCCTGACTCCGTTCCTCATGGAGTGCATCTAGAGGCTCACTGACAAGCGGTTGAGTTCAGGGAACAAGGAGCCATTCCACCTATGGGATATGCAAAGCTGAGATTTGTACCTAATGGGCATAAGGTTTTGAGCCAGGACAAAAGTGAGGAAATTTGGAATCAAAGAATTGTGTCTATTAGTGAATTTGCACTGGCAAACTGAGCAGAACTTTGTGTAAAAAGGCTCAGTTACCCTGAGAGCCCTCAGTCAGGTCAGAGGTGGAGAAAGCCTCTAGTTTCTAGTTTTGATTCCCAAGAACATCTGCCAGGAACTCAGTCTGGACAACTGACTTTCAGGTTTTTTAATCAGAACCAGTGGTGAACTGCTAGTTCCAAGGAAGGTTATTCAAAGACTCAGGCTGGTACAGTTATTTTTTAGGGGAAAGTGAACTTCTACTTCTAGTTCATGAGATGACACCTCTGGGAAAATGGCTTCAGGGCCAGTGGGTACGTGGTTACTCTCCCACTTGGTTATTGCTTGTTGACCTGGGAGACGCAGAGATGCCTCATTCCTGAGTGCTCACCCATTCAGCCATTACAGACACTGAGTCTGGTGAGGGACAGAAGGCATTGCCACTAGATACTTCTGCTTGTGTGTGTGTATGATTATGAAGCGGGTTATTTCTGATATCAGGAAAGAGCCTCCAGTGAGGGCTGTAACTCGCCACATTGGTTTCTTTACTCGCCCATGTGTCAGGGTCTGCTAATAACATCTCAGACTCAGTTTATGTGCTTGGTCTCTTCACTGGTATTGTAACTGCATCTCTAACTGAATCCTATAATGCCCTGAATCCTATAATGCAACAATTGCTTGAGCAGCAACAGGCTCTTTTACAAAGGTTCTCTGAACCCGTTTTTATTACTTATATCAGATCTCATTCTGATCTCCCTCAACCTATGAATCGGGCATAGTTTTTTTTTTTTTAAAGGAGGTATATCTCCCGTTTGACTCCTTGTCCTTGACATTGTTCTCTTGACAATTTTTGAATTTACCTCAAGGGGAGTCATATACAGCAGCTGAAAAGCATTTTCAGGAAGATGCACAGGCTCAGAAAATTATTAATTCTCCTATTTTGATTAAAATTGACAAAGACTGGGTAGCAGGGAGACATCTCATTCGAGGAAAAGGATATGCTTTTCTTTCAACAGGTAACCCCACCAAGAAACTTTGGGTCCCATTGCATTTCATCAGGAGCTGAATTCATCTGCCTGCTTTAACTTTCAGACCTTTGCAGTCTTACAACCCTCTAAATTCCAGCCTCAAGCCATTGCCAAGCTGATTTCAGCTGGGAGCCACAAGCAAATCAGAGGAGCCAGCATCAGAAGGCGTGCGGCAAAGGCCTCTATCTCCTTTAACATATCATGAGGTCACATTCCTTATTCCCTTCTCTTACAGGTTGTGGATTGGGCAACTCCAGAACCCCATATTTTGGATTAACAATTCTTTACTTTTACCCTCTCCACGGAATTCACAGGTGTCTCAGCTCTCAAAGGAGGAAGGAATGACTTTTAATAGGAACACCTTTTTGTTTTTTAATTTTTATTAGTGAGACACCACGAGGCACAGTTGTAGACTTACAAATCTTTGTGCTTGGGTTTCAGTTATACAAGGATCGAGTACCCATCCCTCCACCAGTGCCCATTCTCCACCACCACTGATCCCAGTATCCCTCCCACCCCTCATCCCACCCTGCCTCTGTGGCAGGGCATTCCCTTTTGTTCTCTCTCTCCTATTGGGTGTTGTGGTTTGCAAAAGAGGCAATGGGTGGCAATCATGTTCTCTAGGATAACTGTTTGTGTCGGAGCTCCCCACAATCCCCATATCTTTCTCTACCCCCAGGCATGGAGATGTACCAAACCCTGATGCTCAAAGCCTCTGATAACTTTAAAAAAGTGTTTTTTCCAAACATAAGATAGGTTGCACATCTATGACAACTAGTAACCTGACCAGAGAAAGACTGCATTCCCCCTGCTGAAGAGCTCCTGACAGAAGTCATGATGCTCCTGTTCAAGTGCTCCCTGCCTGATCCAGTGCCCTGAAGTCCATCAGATTCCTATAGCTGCTCCCCGGGACTCATTGCTGTGACCACTACTGCTGCTGTTGCAGAAACAACTCTTCAAATTGTTATCCAGAAACTTCATTTCTTCAAAATGTGACTAAATGACTCTGATCACCCCTGGACAGTGCAGAACTATTGGACACTTTACAACAAGCACTGCTCTGAGTTCAGGGGTGGACTGAAGTTTTAGTACAACAAATGAGACTTTTGTGTTTGTAATTGTTACTCTTTCTATTTCAAATTTTTGTGTTTTTGTAAACAGAAAAGGGGGAGATGTAGGATGACATTGCTTTGTCCTTTCTCCCTTGCCACAGGAGCTTAGGTTTATCAGGTTACACCCATCACAGTGCTCCCAAGTCACTCCCATTCCTTTGTTTATCTATGACCACTTCTCTATGCTTTCTTCCCCAACCAGTTAATCAGCTTTTCCCCTAGTCAGAATCTGTTAATTTGTAAGGTCAGATCCTTCAAGGACACTGAACTTGTATTGTAAATTAATATTGCCTTTCTCCTCTCCTTATGGCTTATGAATAGTTTACTTCAATGCAATGTCCTTTTTGTATAGATACAGGAAGACCGTTGACATTATGCTTTGTACCTTAGGATTTAATTGGCTCTGAATATTATTCACTCCCGGGCATCTGCTTTCTCGGCTTAAGCCTCAGTTGCTCTTAGTTCCCAACATCCCAAAAGCAGGGTCCCGACGAGGGACTGAATGGACCCAGGGCAAGTGGTGAGCTACCCTGGCATCGAAATGGGCCAGGCCAAAGTGCCACGATTCTTAACTATAAGTTAAGAGTTTGATCATAGACAAATGCTGTCATGATCCAAAAGCAATGACGAGACTAGGACCCTGCTAGGGATAGGAAAGACTATCTGGCCTGAGCACTGTAGTCTCAGATCGAGATGGCCCTAGGAGAGCAATTCTATAAGTTTCAGGTATTTCTTACTGTATCCACGCAAAATGACTTATATTATGAATGCTTATATGTTTGTTGGACAAGGAAAAGAGAAACACACCCATGGGATTCCGCTCTAGGGTGGGTTGTCCTGCTGAGAGAGTATCTGTCCTAGAGGCAGCTTTCCGGAGGGAATGAATTCTACCCCTATTGTGACCCCAATCCCTCATGCTGGGGGATATAATAAGACTGTAAGAATGGGCAAGGGGAGGCAGAAGAGAGAGACAGGAATGGATGGAGAGAGGATTGGAATAAACGGTAACTGACATCAACCAGCCTGGCCCTCGTTCCTTCCTTTGCCTGCCCATCGCCATGGACCTCCCTGGGGTGGGGGAACCAGGGTGAGACTACCGAACGCGGGCGGCGGGAGAGATAGACCACAGCCACTGCCGTTGCTGCTGGCATTTTTGAGTTTATACACTTAGGGAAGAGAGGTGGGTACACTGGTGATGGGTGTGATGTTGGAATTATGTACACAGGAATCCATTATTATCAGTATTTTAATTGTAAAACTCCAATCAATAAAAAAATTAAATAAATTTTTTAAATAAAAGTATTTTCTAAAAACATCTTGGAGTTCGCTCTAAGTTGGATAGAACAAGAGGGTATCATGTTAAGTGGTAAGTCGGAGGGAGGACAAACATTGGATCAATTCACCTGTGTTATGCAGAGAAACAAAACAAGTGAGTGGACTGTGTTAAATAACGACAGACCCTTGTTTAGCCTTTGATGACGAAACTGAGACAACCAAGCAGTGGGGACAGGAAGAAGCTGGTGGAAGATGTAGACTAGAAGTAAGGACAGAGGTGGGGTTTTCTTGGGCACTTTGGTGATGGTTAAGATGCAATAACTTTACACGTTAAAACTATAAACATTAACACTGTTGTGATTATCTTGCCAGACACAGTAACAACAAAGTCTCCAATGGAGACGTTACTGGGCCCACTCGAGCCTTAACTACAATAAATTTTTTATTTAAACAATTCAGAAAGGAAACAAAATGCATGAGGCTTTTGAGATAAGCATAAGTCACTGTCACTGTCACTGTCCCCCTGTTGTTCATTGATTTTCTTGAGCGGGCCCAGTAACGTCTCCATTGTGACACTTGTTACTGTTTGGCATATCGAATATGTCGCGGGTAGCTTGCTAGGCTTTGCCGTGCGGGTGAGATACTCTCCGTAGCTTGCCAGGCTCTCCGAGAGGGGCAGAAGAATCGAACCTGGGTTGGGCCAGGTCGGCTGCGTGCAGGGCAAAAACCCTACCCACTGTGCTAACACTCCAACCCAAGTGTAAGTAGTATGCAATAATACATATTGAGGTGTCATTGACAAATGACCAGGCATTCTAATTTCAAGGTCTTCCCCCTCCTCTGGCTTGTGCTGGGTGGGTTTATTTCATCCTTGTCTGTCCTTACTCTGGTTTCTAGGGCCCAGCACCTTACCCTTCATCCAAGCCCTGCAATAGGGACGGGAATTACTGGTTAAGGACCCTGGTGTCCATATTTTATCTGGGATAAAAGAAAGAAGCAACATTGGTGAGAAAGGAGGGTCAATTCCTTGAACAGCAGAGGGAATAGAGGTGACTTCCTCAAAACAGAATGAAGGTCAGTCAGTGAAGGGAAAAAAATCTTTTGACACTTCATGGTCATAGTGGGCCCAGTCAGACATTTTTATTGGTTTAGTATATTTATAAGCTTCAGGGTTGAGGAACTCAGACAGCAGGGAAGCAAAGTGATTAATAGACATCCATGTAGGAAGGGCGGTCTACTGTGGGGAGAGGACAATTCTTCAGGAGGACAGATTGAAAGAGTCAAGAGAACCTGAGGCAGTTGAAGAGTGACATTAGCCATCCTTTTGTGTTTGGTCTCAGGAATCCTTCTTCTTGACCTGAGGAAGAAAGAACATTCTCAAAGACTTCGAATGACATAATGATGGGAGTGGGTTAGACTCTGGAGCCTGACCAGGAAGGGGCATGATGGTCCCCCACCCGCCATGCTCCAGCATTGCATTTTATAGCCACTAGAGAATTCTTCTCCCATCCCATACAAGCAGTCCCGTAATGATCTCCTGAACATGGCAGGGAACAGGAGGGCTGATATCAGCTCTGGAAGTCCCTTAGAGCCATTGAATGAGGTTCCACCTCTTCCTCCCAGCACCCGCCCTTCCTGCCCTCTTCTTACCATGGCAATCAGCACCAGGGTGCTGACCAGCAGAGCATATAGTGTGGCCTTGCCCAGCAGGATCTCATAGAGGAGGGTAGCAGACAGGACCCCCTGCTGATACGACCCTGGGGGGTGGGGGAGAGAACTGGTGACTCACGGGTCACAGATGATCCGTGAGCACATACATTAGGCCTGCCCACTTCCCTCACCCACCAGGGTCCAGGGGCTCTCTGTTCCTTGGTTAAGGAGCACAGACCATGAGAGGTGGAGAGAAGGAAGGGAGGGGTTACTTACTTGCAGTGAGGCCACAATCTAAAAAGAAGAAGGGGGAAATGAATGAGTAGGGAAGTGGATTATTTTGTTTTGGGACCACCCCTGGCAGTGCTAAGGGGCTAATCCTGATTCAGTGCTCAGAGTCACTGCTAGCAGTGCTTAGGGACCATATTCCGTGCCAGGACTTGAACACAGGCCTCCTACATGCAAAGCAGGTTCTCCAGCCTGTTGAATTCTCTCTCTGTCTCTTTCTCTTTCTAACCCCTAGAGAAGGCATTATTTAAAGAGATGGAGCTTTTAAGTGAGTCCTGGTTAACATTCCACTCCCCCCCCTCCCCAACCTCCTCTTGATTTCCACCTCCTAGACATCCTTGGAGCTGTGGTCTTCCCCTTTCACTTCAGGGACAACCCCATTGGAACCTTCAGAAACTAAGGCCAGTGATGGGTCAGGACATGGCCCGCCCTGAGACGCAGAGCCTTGCAGCCGGCTAGAAGGGGGGCCCTGGCTGTGAGGTTGTGTTGGGCTGAGGATCCTGGGGAGAACAGGCTCATCTGCAGGTAGATCTCCCCACCCTTTCTGCACCTAGCCCTGTGCTCTCCCCAGTAGATGTGGTCTCACCCATGCCTACACACACACACACACACACACACACACACACACACACACACACACACAGACCCCTGCCAGGGCCCCAGGAAACCTCCCCCTCACCTGCTCTGCCCCAGGCTTCAGCACTGACATTCTGGGTGACAGGTTTGGGCCTTCTAGTTTCTTCAAAGTTCCACTCATCCTCGTCGCTGAGCCCATAGAAGCGAACTTGGCAGCGGAAGTGGTTGCGAGGGTCATGCCAATAGGCGGCAGAGACCCTCAGCCGGCTGCTCAGACAGTAGGTGGATTTCTTCTCATCAGGCTGCTCCTTGAGGGGTTCGGGGTCCGTGCTGACCCCACTCTGCACCTCCTTGTCGTTCACCCACCAGCTCAGCTCCACATGGTCGGGGTAGAAGCCCGTGGCCAGGCACACGAGAGTGGCCTTCTGGGTCTCGTTGATCTCGGCTTCAGAGGGTTCAAACACGGCCACCTGGGGTGGTTGCACATCTTTCAGGCTCTCTGAGGAGTAGAGGGCTTGGGGTGAGGACTGGGGGAGAGCTGTGTGTGCATGATTGTATGTGTGTGTGCATGTGTGTGTGTGTGTGTGAGAGTGTGTGTAGAAGTAGAAGTTGGTCCCATTTCTCTGACTTACCTGTTGGATTCACCTAGGGACAGGTTCCATGTATTGTCTCTACTCCATAAAGTAGCAACACAAATGGCATGGCCCAGATATCAGATAACAGTCCCCTCACTGTTGCTATCTTTTAAAAATGTTCTCTATTTCTTGTGGGGGCTGGAGTGATAGCACAGCGGTAGGGCATTTGCCTTGCACGCAGGCAACATGGCCGACCCGAGTTCGATTCCTCTGCCCCTCTCGGAGAGCCCGGCAAGCTACCGAGAGTATCTCGCCCGCACGGCAGAGTCTGGCAAGCTCCCCGTGACGTATTCCATATGCCTAACACGGTAACAACAAAGTCTCCAATGGAGACATTACTGGGTCCACTCAAGCAAATTGACGAACAACAGGAGGGCCTTTACCTTTACCTTTACCTCTATTTCTTGTAGTGCCAGAGATAGAACCATCTTCGGCTAATCATTGATGTTGCCCGTTTCTTCTCCACCAATAAACTTACTACTTCCCGCCATATTTTGTCATAGTTATTTGAATGGAGCACAGACTTGGAACCAGAATCACAGGACTGCAGTCTCTGAGCTGATTTAGTCCAGCCCGGTCAAGCTCTCTTTTCCTCTGTCTCATTTATTTCTCTTGTTGGCCAGTTTCTTTGCACTGACTCTCCCTTGCAGGGGTGATTGAAAATGACACAGGGATTCAGACAACTCCAATCCTAAACAGAGAGGGAAATTTCTATCTAGGTTGGAGGGTCAGAATAGTGAGAGGGGGTTAGGGATCAGTGGGTCCTTGGAGGGAGGAGGGATTCTTTATATGAGAATACACAGATAGCAGAGTTTCATGCACTCATGGAAAAAATATCATTTCACATTTGGGGTACTCCCAAGAATGGGATTTTCTTGGTATTTTGTGGCTGCTGGGGTCTTTCTTAGCCATTTCTTCACTTCTAGATGTTCCCAACCCTGTTTTGATTCAGCTCAGATGGGTAACAATCTCCCCAGAGGTCAAGTTCAGGGATTCCCTGTCTTCTTGCTGTTACTCCCTAAGTTATACTTTCCCTAGTATATAACTGCCTGTATAGATGTCTGAGCTTCTCAGAGCATCATCTTCATGTGGGGTTCTCTTAGGCCTCTGCTAGATAGGGTCTTCCATGGCCCCCAGGAGGCAACGCCCTTCAAGCTTCTTCCCCAGGGGCACATTTTGTAGCTCCTCAGCTTTGGTTCCCATGAAACTTTTTCTTTGTTTCTGTGCAAATCTTCTAAAATGAGCAACAGTGATCTTATGAGATCCTATTTTGTCTGGAAGATGGAGGAAGCACTCTTCTATGTGGCACCTCCCATTTTGCAGAAAGGTAACCAAACCTCCAGGACTGGCTCCATGAGTGTGTGTCCTGTGTGTCTAATGGACTCTTCCATTAGAAGTACTTCCATTTGGTTTCATGCTATGGTCACCATTTGGAAATTCAAAGTGGGATGTGGGTAGCCTTTGGGCCACATCTGCTGGTGCTCAGGGTTTACTCCTGTCTCTGTGCTAGGGGTCACTCCTAAGAGAGTTTGGGAGGCCATATGTAGTGCCTGACTGAAGTGGGATCACTTGTGTACAAGGTGAATTACTTAACTCCTGAGCTATCTCTGAAGCCCTCAGAGTGATCTTTTGGGGGGTCACACCTGGCGATGCACAGGGGTTACTCCTGGCTCTGCACTCAAGAGTTACTTCTGGCAGTGCTCAGGGGACCATATGGGATGCTGGGAATCGAACCCAGGTTGGCCGCGTGCAAGGCAAACGTCCTACCCGCTGTGCTACCGCTCCAACCCAGAGTGATTTTTTTTAAATGCTATCCCTTACATTTCCATCTGAGCAATCCCCAGCTGGTGTTCTTTTATCTTCCTCCTGCTACTTCAGTATGTCCGGATCTTTCTGGCTCAGCCAGCTTGAAATGGTAATATCCCAACTTCTACCTGCATTCCTGAGCTCCTCAATCTCTCTGCTCTCATCTCAAAGACCCTGCCTCTGGAATTCTCCATTCCTCCAAGGCAACTCATGTGTCTTCCCTCCTCCTCTGCCTGCAAACATACTTCTTACTGTGAGAGAATAACGGTGGAGCTCTGAGCACCTATGATCACGGTCACGGTCCTCCTGTTGTTCAACGATTTACTCGAGTGGGCCCAGTAACATCTCCATGGTGAGACTTCTTGTTACTGTGTTTGGCATATCAAATACGTCACGGGGAGCTTGCCAGGCTTTGCCGGGCAGGCAAGATACTCTCGGTAGCTTGCTGGGCTCTCTGAGAGGAGCGGAGGAATCGAACTCGGGTCGGCCATGTTGGCTGCATGCAAGGCAAACGCCCTACTGCTGTGCTATCGCTCCAGCCTGAGCACCTATGATACTTCTTATATTTATTGCTGCTGTGGGGATGGACCAAACATCAGCAGGACCCTCACTCCACTCTACAGCACATCTGTGGGGGGAGGAGCGTGCTTGCCTCGTGGTCTAAACATGGATGCTATTGCGCTTCTGTGCTCATGCAAGGGCCAGCTGCAGGCAGGAGTCCCAACTTCATCTTTCTTGTTTCCAGCCCCATTCTTATCCTGACCCAGTTCTCCCCTTCATTCTTACCATGCCAAATTCTTGGCACTGAACTGGTCCTCCCCGCTCAGGACCCCCTACGTGGCCAAGCCCTGCATCAGGACCTCCGTCCCTGACTCCCACCCCCTAAGCACCCCATTCCTGTGTCAGATAACCTAAATGCAGCCTCTGGGAACTCCTGGAAGCAATCTGAAGAGGTTGGGCTGATGGCGCTAGATGCACTCACCAGGAAGCAAGGTGCAGCCTCCCCCTGTCTTTACCTGGCTTATCTGGTTCCAGACTCCCTATCTTTCGCCACCTCAGCTACTCCTGAGAACCCAGCATTTTCCTCTGGGGAAGGAGTATCAGAGCTTCACTTGGATCCAGCTTAATGATGGCCTAGATACAAGGCTGCTCTCTCATAAGCCTGGGTGAGTCATCCCCAGCAGCTCCCTCTCTCAGACCTCAACGTTCTCATCAGCAGGCAGTGTCCCTGTCTACACCTTGGGCCTGAGAGCCCCTGGGAAATTTCCTCACCTCACAGCAAAATACCTGTTGCATTCCGGTGACATTATTTCCCAAAGATTTGGATGGTTTACCTTAGAGAACTTCATAGGAAGCTGGCAATTTCAGGCTGAGGGTAGGAAGCATTCTCTAAGGGTGATGACGCTTCCTAGGAAGCTAGCGGGTGCCGACCACCATCTCCCCTGCCCCATTCCAGCCCAAGGCTGAAGTTTAAGAGACAAGGGCAGGCAGGGATTTCAACTCTTCTTTTAAACCCGCATTTGTGAACAGGAAACCAACTCAGCCAGCCTTGATGAGAACCCTTTCCTTCTCTGAGGGATGTTTCTTTCTTCGGCCCCTCTGCGCCAACCTGCCTGTGACCCTTTTCGTTCTCTGTTCAGCTTCAATCCACCCCTCCCCCAACAATACATCGGAGGGGTGCGACCACTTTTGTCAGGCTAACGCCCGGGCTTTTCCTAGTCCTCCAGTTGGGTCACTCCCGCCTCCCAATCTTCTCAAGCTCAACTTTTCCCAGTCTGGGGTACAAACCCTCTCCTTCCCCACCACTCACCCAGCATTTCTGAACCGCAGGGGGAGAGATCAGAAGCACCGGGACACTCCATCCCTGTTCCGGGGCCGAGGCTACCCCATCCTCTCTGCCGTGGCGCAGAGTTGACCCGCACAGCCCTCACCGCGACCCCCACCCCCGCGGGAACACTGCCGCAATCCCCCACCCTTCCCCCCGCCAACCCCTCCACCCTTTCCAGAATTCCGGGGACCGAGTCCCCTGCCCACTTTACCTAGGACGGTGAGCCTGGTGCCGGGACCGAAATGCTGCTCGTAGGAGCACAGAGACCCACGTCCGTGCGCAAACGCCCGAGCGCGCGCGTCCCAGCCCCGCTCCCACAAAGCGCTCGGAGGGCACCCGGGTTCTCATCCCAGGACAGGAGCTGGCGGACACCCCCGCCCCCATCCCGGGACGGCACATCCCCGAGGCTCCCCGCAAGAAGCCGAGCGACCCCGCGGCGCCCCAGAATCCGGTCCCGCTCACCTAGAACCAGCAGCCGGGTGCCCGAGCCGAAGTACTGGGTCTCGGCGTCACAGCCCCGGAGTCCCGCGCAAAAACGCGCCGCGCGCCGCCGCCCGCTTACCGAGCACGGTCAGCCGGGTGCCGGGGCCGAAGTATTGGGTGTTCTGGGAACACAGCCGCGGGACGCGGCACAAAAACAGCCCCCGCGGCCGCCGGGTCCCCCCAGCCCGGGTTTCTGCTTACCCAACACCGTCAGCCGCGTGCCCGCGCCGAAATACTGAGTGTCTGCGCTCACAGCCCCCCAAGCCAGGACCAAAACCTGGCATCTGGGGTACCCAGCTCCAATGCGGGCGTTTCGGGGGCCCGAGTTTCCCAACCCCACCTGAGAGCGCTGCCCGGCGCAAAACTGGGCATCTGTCCATCTCTCTCCTGGACATCCCGCAAGGGGTGACTCGGTATCTCCTGCCCGGCTCCTTACCTAAAACCGTCAGCCTGGAACCCGCGCCGAAGTACAGCTCCCCGGTGTTAGCACAGCCTCGGCGTCCCGGGCGCAAACCTACCTGGGTCCCCAGACGCACACGGGGACCTAATGTCCACTCTGCCCTGCTCCTGCAATGTCCCGGCCCGGTTGAGGGGAGAGTTGTGCAGACTTAGAAGAGAGGTTTCAGGGGGGATACAGCCTTACCTAGCACGGTGAGCCGGGTCCCTGAGCCGAAGTACTGCTCAGCATAGGAGCACGGCGGGAAGGGGCCGCCAAGAACGTCCCCCCCACTTCCCACGCCCCTGAAGGGCACACTTTCCCTTTTCCTACTTGCTTCTTTCTTCCCTCTCCAGCATCAGCTGGACATAGAAAGGTGGACACTGCTTGAGGTCAGCTCCAATGTGCAGAGAAGCCACGTGATTTGGGGACAGGACAGTGGAGGGGAAGTTGAGTAGTTCAAGTTAAACCTGGCCCAACGTTCATGTATGATCTGGACCTTCACTGGCCTTTGTTTTTTTTATTTGAAAATATTAGGTGCCATCCACCGCTTTCAGGACTCTTCTGTGTTCTTTTTTTTTTTTTGGGGGGGGGGGGGGGCGTTCACACCGTGCTCAGGGGTTACTCCTGGCTCTGCACTCAGGAATTACTACTGGCAGTGCTGGGGACCATATGGGATGTTGGGGATCGAACCCAAGTTGGCTGCATGCAAGGCAAATGCCTTACCTGCTGTGCTATTACTCTGGCCCCTTCTGTGTTGGTTTGTTTGTTTGGCGATGGGGGACTACATTAGTGCTTACTCCCAACTCTGTCTTGGGCACTCATTCCCAGAATTATTCCGGGGACCATTTGATAGTGGGGGTGAAACCTAGTCCTCCCATATGCAAAGTATGCTCCACACCTTGGGTCATCTCTTCATCCCTGACCTGTGTTCTTCATAAGTAACATGCCTGCATTATTCCATCAAGGGTGCTTCTGAGAAGTGCTTAGTGCTGCTTTGATGCCTCTGGTGTTGGGGTTCCTGGGAAGCTGGATGTGGAGGAGGGAGACATCTCCTGAGTCTCAGGAGCTAAAGACCTGCAAAGGTGGGCCAGATCCAGCCCCAAAGGCCTCTCCCAGTGGTACCCCCACTCAGAGCTGAGTTCTAGGGGCTGCACACACAAGCTGTGGAAGGCAGTGTTTTTGTAAAAGCACCCGGTTCACCTGAACCATTGTGGCCCCCCCCAGTCCTCACAATGTTACACCTCGAAACAAAAATGTTTCCTCCCTCAGGCTCCCTCACCCACAACCTCCCCAACCTCCCGGCAGAGGCAGGAAACACAGGTGGCAGACCTCAGGGTGACTATGAATGGGGCTGGGCCAAGACAGACCCACTTCACCAACTCAGTTAAGTGGGGAGAGGAAGAGCATTGTACTCGGTGGGGGAGCACACACAGCACCCCAAGATCTATGCCATCTGCTGTCTTCACTGGGACGCTATAGGACCCTGCACAGATGCATTTATAGTGAAGTAGGTGGGAGGAGCGAGGGGAATGAATTAATCCAGCAAGTTCCGGGGTGAGGGCCAACAGCCCAGAGGCTCTGCAACTCCCCATCGCTTCCCCAACTCCCAAACTTTTGGAGGAGTTGGTGACTATTTAATGATTGTCTCTGAGGAGTCAAGGCTCTTGCTGGTGGCAGGGATTCCAGAGACTCCCCAGAAAGGCATGCACCCACTACCTTTGAGCCTGAGGTTTTTCCCACAGGTATAGTACAGCGGTAGGGCGTTCGCCTTACAAGTGGCCAACATGGCCGACCCGAGTTCGATTCCTCCGCCCCTCTCGGGAGCCCGGCAAGCTACCGAGAGTATTGGATATGCCAGACACAGTAACAACAAAGTCTCCAATGGAGATGTTACTGGGCCCGCTCGAGCAAATCGATGATCAACGGGAGGGCCTTTACTTTACTTTACTTTTACTATCTCTGAACTATGTACCCACAAGTGCCTGGCTCTGCTATCTGAGCTATTGTTCATGTTTCCCTGGGACCATCACACTGTCCCAAGGAAAACTGAGACCAAGTCTTTCTTTCTTTTTTAAGTGATAAAAATGATAAAAGTAACTTTATTAAGATGTAAACACTTCAGAATGTCTCTGATAAGGCTCTATAATTCTTTTATATAACACATTTTAGTTTATTATTTTTTAACTGAATCACTGTGAGATATGGTTACAAAGTTTTTGTGATCAGGTTTCAGTCATACAATGTTCCAGCACCCATCCCTCCGCCAGTGTACTCTTCCCACCACCAATATCCCCCATATCTGTCCTGCCACCACCCCCTCAGTCTGCCTCTAAGGCAGGCACTTTTCTTCTCATTATCCCTCCCTCTCTCCCTCTCCCTCCTTCTCTCTCTTCCTTCTTCTCTCTTTCTCTTCTTCTTCTTCTTCTTCTTCTTCTTCTTCTTCTTCTTCTTCTTCTTCTTCTTCTTCTTTTCTCCTCTTTATCCCTCCCTCTCTCCCTCTCCCTCTCTCCCTCTCCCTCCTCTCTCTTCCTCCTCCTCCTCCTCCTCCTCCTCCTCCTCCTCCTCCTCCTCCTCCTCCTCCTCCTCCTCCTCCTCCTCCTCCTCCTCCTCCTCCTCCTCCTCCTTCTTCTTCTTCTTCTTCTTCTTCTTCTTCTTCTTCTCTCTTTCTCTCAGGCTTTGGCCCAGTAATCCCCACCAAACATTGAGTGCTGGCTTCTGCCCGCCTTTGAGAAGACAGCGTCCTGCTACTCAAACCATTCCCTTGTATTTCTATGACTTGTATTTAAGAATTATTTTTCCTCTGAATAAGGAATGTGACTTGCATGCCTTCTTTTTCTTGAAGGTTCACTGTGAACGATGGTGATGATAGATACCCAATGAGTGGATGAGCACACTCATGCGTATGTGTAAATTGCACATGCACTTGTGTGAGCCCGTATGTAACATGCTCACATGTCCAGGAGAGCTGGAAGTCCTGTGTTGTGGTTGTATAAATGAAGATTGATGGAAATTTCAGGAAGACCTGGCTCTATCTAAACTAGCTCATTTTAACTTCACTCATGAATTCATTCATTCACTCATTCATTCATTTATTCAAAGGTAGTTTATGCTGTATCCTAAAAGACTTCAAATAGCACATCCAGTCAAATGGTGATGTCAGGATGTCAGACAGAGGAGGAGCTGGTCCCAAGGAGGTGTGCTCAGAGCACCAAGAGAATAAAACATGGGTTGCAGTGCGTTTGGTCTCCAGGAGGTGAGGGGTAATGTCCAATCTAGGAAAGCTCCTCTAGGGAGGAGAGCACACTCATGCTTTCTTGGAGGAGATTAAGGTAGAGAAGTACAAAATGAAAACAAGTAGTTCTGGGTGCACTTCAGGAGAGAGAGGACTGAGGTGAATGTTTAATAGGAGGTAAAGGAAAATTATTCCTTTGCATATGTCCTAAGTGAATGGCATCACCTAGGGACATGGAGACAACAAACAGCTGATACCAGGTCTGGGCCAACATTATTTTTCTGTCCTTAGAGAAGGAATCCAGGAGCATTTAGTTCACTAAAGAGGCACTTCTGATCTGACAGTAAATTTAAGAACATATTTTTTATTGAAGCATAGTGATATAAACAGTTACAAAGTTGTTAATGATTGCGTTTCAGTCATCCAATATCTTTTCTTCACCAGTGTATATTTCCTGCCACCAATGTCCCCAATTTCCCTCTCTGCTCCCAGACCCAGCATGCCTGTATGATACTTTTCTTCTTATGGTCTCTCTCTTTCTCTTTGTTTCTGTTCGTCTGTCTCTCTCATTATAGGGACTGTGACTTACAATACTGTGACTGAAAGGTTATCATGTATACCACTTTACTTCCTTTTTGCATTCAGTTCTTTTCCAGGGTGATCATTTCCAACTATCATTGTCATAGTGTTCTCTTCTCTGTCCTAACTACACTCTCCCACAACTTGTGGCAAGCTTCCTACCAATGACGGGTCCTCCTGGTCCTCATTTCTACTGTCTTTGGGTATTAGTCTCATACTATGTGTTGTTTTTATCCCACAAATGAATGTGATTATTCAAAGCCTGTCCCTCTCCCTCTGACTCATTTCACTCAGCATGATACTCTCTATGTCCGTCCATGTATAAGCAAATTTTATGAGTTCACTTTTCCTTTATTGATTGAGATTCTGTGGTTTACAATGTTGTTAATAATGATTCCTTGTGCACATAATGAACAGTAAATTAAACAGGAAGACACCCTGGTGGGTGAGAGTGTATTTTCTAATTAGTGCTTTTGCTCCTCAGCGGGAAACCTACTGGAAGATGTTGCGGGAACTCCTGAGGTGACTGAAAGCCTGTGGGTGACATAGACAAAGCTTGGGCTGCCCCTCAGAACACCTCCACCTCAGAACACTGGACAGCGCTTCCTAGGGTCAACACCAACAATTCTTTTGTCTGTTCGGAGTCAGCCTTTCCACACCCAGATATCCACTTCTTTCCATGTCCACATGATCCCTTGGACAAGGGGGAGCACTATTGCAGGCCTGGCTTCCTCACCAACTTCCCGCGGCCACTGCACTTTCTATAAACACCTCATGTCTCTGTCTAGACGGAGGAGAGCCGCCCAAGTGTTCAGAGAGCAGAGAAAGAGCACTCCAGATTCTCACGCAGTCAAGTGAAGCAGAACAAGGTATCTTTATTGGTTTGGTACATGTGGGCATGCTGGGATCGCCACTGGGTGAGTAAGGGAGGTTGGACCACTGGTCCTAGTGGGATGCACTGGGACAACAGTGAGTGGGAGTGGTGGGCAGGAACCCACTGATTCTGCAGGAGCACCGGAGGTGGCAGGGGGTAGAAACGCACAGGCCATTTGGGGCCACAGCAGGTTGGCGACTCTTGGCTCCATCTTTGAGTCAGCTTCAGGAATTCTTTCTCTTGGCCTGAAGAAGAGAGGTTGTGGGGTGGTAGGAGCCAAACATGGTGAAGATGAGAGGGAAAGGCATAACCCAATGACAAGAGGAAAACTTGAAATACCCACTGAGCTTGTAGGTGACCCCAGAACCCCTGAGAAATAGGGTGGTTTCTGAGGCCTGGGGCAGACTCCATCTTTCTCTGTGACCCACCTCTAGCCCTGGCGGGGGTGGTGGTCTACATTTCTGGCTCTCCCTTGATTGTTGGGTTTTAAACCACCCTGCTCTCCCACCCTGCCCGCTCCTCACCATGGCCATCAGCACCAGGGCGCTGACCAACACAGCATACAGCGTGGCCTTGCCCAGCAGGATCTCATAGAGGAGGGTGGCAGACAGGACCCCCTGGTGATACGACACTGAGACACAAGTGGGGGTCAGTGGGTACCTGGGAACACGCACCATGGCCTCCCCGAGGCTCCACCTCCCTTAGGTTCTCTGCTTCCCATTTGGGAACAAAGACCAAGGGAGTGTGTGTGTGTGTGAGTGTGTGTGTGTGTGTGTGTGTGTGTGTGTGTGTGTGTGTGTAGAGTGGCGGGGACAGAAGGGAGAGTTTACTGTTTACTTACTCGAGGTGAGGCCACAGTCTGCAAGAGAAGCAAGAGAGTCGTGGATGAGAAATTACACTTTCTGAAGCTGGTTGGCCCCTCTCAGGCTTAGTAAACACAGAGCTCCCCTCCAACTCCCCCACCCCACTGGGCTCCTTTCAGACACCAGCACTGGCATTTTTTTTTCCTGTTGTGACCATAGTGGGACAGCATCTTTCAAATCTATTGTTCCAAGGGATAGGGGCACCCACCATTTTTGAGCTCCGTGGGTTGGTGGAAAGGGGAGAGCTTCCTGCAAGGTTGTGTTGGGCTGAGGGTCCTGGGGAGAACAGGCTCACCTGCAGGTGGGTCTCCCCGCCCTTTCTGTACCTAGCCCTGTGCTCTCCCCAGTAGATGTGGTCTCACCCACGCCTACATACACACACACACACACACACACACACACACACACACACACTGACCTCTGCCAGGCCCCCAGGAAACCTCCCCCTCACCTGCTCTACCCCAGGCTTCAGCACTGATATTCTGGGTGACAGGTTTGGGCCTTCTAGTTTCTTCAAAGTTCCACTCATCCTCGTCGCTGAGCCCATAGAAGCGAACTTGGCAGCGGAAGTGGTTGCGAGGGTCATGCCAATAGGCGGCAGAGACCCTCAGCCGGCTGCTCAGACAGTAGGTGGATTTCTTCTCATCAGGCTGCTCCTTGAGGGGTTCGGGGTCCGTGCTGACCCCACTCTGCACCTCCTTGCCGTTCACCCACCAGCTCAGCTCCACGTGGTCGGGGTAGAAGCCCGTGGCCAGGCACACGAGTGTGGCCTTCTGGGTCTCAGTGATCTCGGCTTCAGAGGGTTCAAACACGGCCACCTGGGGTGTTTGCACATCTTTCACGCTCTCTGAGGAGTAGAGGGCTTGGAGTGAGGACTGGGGGAGAGCTATGTTTGAGTGATCGTCTGTTGTGTGTGCACGCATGTGTGTGTATGTGTGTGCACATGTACGTGTGCATGGAAATTGCCATAACAGCAAAGTCAGGTAAAGCTGTTATGTTAGTTTGGGGTTCATATCCCATCTTCTTTGCCAACCCCTGCTTCTTAGTGCCCCTTAGGGATGCTTGCCTCCACTAAGGATGACTTTGTCTCCTTAGGTGACACAACTTTTTGTTTTGTTTTGTTTTTTGCTTTTTGGGTCATACCCAGCAATGCACAGGGATTACTCCTGGCTCTGCACTCAGGAGTTACTCCTGGCAGTGCTCAGGGGACCATATGGGATGCTGGGAATCAAACCCTACCCGTTGTGTTATCTCTCCAGCCCTGACACAACTTTCTTAACTTCCTTTTCAAAGTCTCCTACTCCGAGGATCAAAAGAGCTCATGAGTTCCTCTGTTCTCCTACTTGTTGCCTTCTCCATGCCTGTCAAATCTTTCAACTCAGAAGCATTTGCACTAGAGTTAGATTCGTAGGCAGAGGAATCATGGCATCATGACCTTAGGAACCAAGCTGACTTTCCCTAATTACTGCTTTCCTGTTCTAACAAGGCGGAGGGGTTTGTTTCCATGATGGCACATGCTGAGAATCAGTCTTTCTTGCCTAGAAGAGATAGTTTCCACATTGCATCAGAACGTCATTTTTCCTCACTTGCGTTTAGTTTTTCTCCCATTTCCCCCCCCCCCCCCCCCATGTAGCCTACATAGAGTCTCGCAGTCGCCTCTCACTATGGTCATAACAGATGTTCCCATTGACTCCCAACCAGTGCTCAGAGCTGCGTAGTAGCTTGCCCAGGGTGGGTGTCATCCCTGGAAAGATGATGCTGGTGGCTAAATTTTCTTCTTTCCAATACCCAGTGCACTTTTTCCTGGCAGCTTTGTGATCTGAGGTCAAATCCAAGCTCTGAATTCTTGGAAGCAGTAAAATCCTGTTCAAATATGTACAAAGCTCAAATCCCAAAAACGATTTCATCAGAGGGTTCCTGCTGTAACTCTGGTTCCTTTCCATGACTGACAGATGGGAGAGAGTTTCCAGGTTTGCTGGAAGGTGTGAACTCTGAGGACACAAAGGAAGGACACCACTTTATCCATATTTTAGAGACCCTCCCTCTAGTCAGATTTTTCTGTGCCGTCTATTTTATTTAGCTCTTTTAAAACAATGGGACTGTTTTGGATATTTTGGTTTTTAGTTTTTGGTATTTCTAGTGGGAGAATTGAGTTACAGCTTTGCAAAGGGGTAAGTTGCATGTTGGGTTGCCGATAAAGTTCCATATTATGTTTTTGAGACAGCCCAAGACAGTTCATGTATACCCCCTGAACCCACCCCCCAACCTAGGCATTCTGAATCATGGTGATTTGAACAGTTCAATGTCCCTGATACTCCCTATCATGTGCTCTTGTCTACAGGGTAATTTCTCCTTCAGCCAACCTGGCAGAACCTCTGCATCCTCCTCCTGCAGCCTGTATTGAACCTACAACCCAACACACCCTCACACCGCTTCTGGATTGTGTCCCCCGAGCACAGTCCCTCCACTCTCTTTTGCCTTCTTCCCAGTGTTGTCCTGCTGGATTCCTGGGCTCCGATGGCCCCAACCCTGCACCCCGCATAGCCCTGAGCTGCCCAACAACGTTGCCTTCTCCCTACTTTTCTCTACTTTATGTCTTATCTGCTGCTAAGATGGATTCAGTTTCCACTTATTGATTCAGACTCCTCTGACCTCCCCAACCAGTGTCCCCAGGAACTCACCTCCCAGACCAGTATCCCTGGGAAATCACCTCCCCAACCAGTATCCCAAGGAACTTACCTACCCAACCAACCAGTGTCCCAAGGAACTCACCTACCCAACCAACCAGTGTCCCCAAGAACTCACCTCCCAGACCAGTATCCCTGGGAAATCACCTCCTCAACCAGTGTCCCAAGGAACTCACCTACCCAACCACCAGTGTCCCCAAGAACTCACCTCCCAGACCAGTATCCCTGGGAAATCACCTCCCCAACCAGTGTCCCCGGGAACTCACCTCCCGGACCAGTGTCCCAAGGAACTCACCTACCCAACGAGTGTCCCCAAGAACTCACCTCCCCAACCAGTGTCCCCGGGATCTCACCTCCTCGACCAGTGTCTCCAGGAAGTGACCTCCCCAACCAGTGTCCCTGGGAACTCACCTCCCCAGCCAATGTCCCAAGGAGCTCACCTCCCCAACCAGTGTCCCTGGAAACTCACCTCCCCAGACAGTGTCCCTGGGAACTCACCTCCCCAACCAGTGTCCCAGGAATTCACCTCACCAGCCAGTGTCCCCAGGAACTCACCTCCCTGACCAGTGTCCCAAGAAACTCACCTCCCCAACCACTGTCCCCAGGAACTCTACAGGTGCTATGACCTAGACTTCTGCTCTTAATGGCTCAGCAGCATGCCCCAACCCCCAAAGTCGCACCAGCCTACTGCTCCACTGCCTCTGGAGCCCCAAATACCTGAAGGAGAACCACATAGATCTTGGGAGGCTACTAGAACAGGGAGACAGGGACAAAGAAGGTAGAAGAGAATCCTGAGCTCGGGGGAGGGGGCGGGGAGGAAGCATCTGAACTGGGAGGCAAAGAGACTCGCCACAACAGACTCAACAAGGCAGAAAGAATCAGAACAGGGTGGGGAAATGGGGAAGAGCAGAGAGAAAAGGGGAAAGGAAAGTGAGCCACCCTGCAGAAGAACGTTGAGAAGAGAGAGGCGTCTCGAGAAGAGGAAAGAAGTGCGAGAAGGCAGAGGCTGGAGCTGGGGCAACAGTAGGAGGCTGGATAGAGTTGAGCCCAGCCTCCCTGGGGGACTGGGGAAAATTCGGGGAGCCAGGTAGGAGCAGCCAGGAGCCTGAGGACCTCTCTCTTCTTCCGCTCTCCCCTCCCAGAATTCATCCCTAGGGACCCAACTCTACATCCCCCGCAGCAGTGGGGTGTGTGTGGGGGGAATCTCTTACTTGTCACAGTGAGCCCGGTGCTGACTTAAAGGCTGTGGTCTAACCCTTCAGGCTGTACATGTTAGCACCCCGACTGCATAGAGCACCTTTTCTGCCCGGGCTCTTGGCTCTGAGAAAGGGCTGTACGCTAGGGAGAGGGTCACCGCTCACTCCAGGGAACAGTCTTAGAGGGAAGAATGAGTGTCAGGAAGAGCAAGAAGCCACAGGAGTTGCAGGGAACTGCACCCGGGGTCCACACCCCAGGCCTCATCCAAGACAGGGAGCCACATCCCATCCCCAAAGCACAGCGGCTTGGTGCTCCACAGCTGAGCACAAGGATGCCCGAACCAAGCATCACCCGGAGTCGGGAGCTCTTTCCAGAGCTTCCACCCAGGACTTTGGGAACCTCAAGCCACTACTGCCCCCTCCCCACCAGGGTCAGAGAGTTTTCTCTGCTGCATCCTCTGCCCTTGCCCCTCACCACAGAGCTCCCCACCCAAGGCTTACAGCACACACATCCTTACCTAAGACAGTGAGTTTGCTCCCGCTGCCGAAATAGAGCCTCTCGTTAGTAGCACAGCAGCCAAGCCTCGCCTGCAAACTGCCCTGCGCCTTCCGGCCCTTCCTGCCCCAATCCCACCCCGACCTCCCCCTTCCCCACTCTTAGTTCTGGGAGTTTTAGGGGGCAGACCACCGGGCCTTCTAAGACTTCATCCTGGGGACCCCACATCCTCCTCCTGTGTACCCATCTCTTATCTGCTCCAGGTAGGAAGGATCTCCCCTCCATCATGGCCACGGGGGGCTCCCTCCAAGGAGGCAGGAGATGAACAGGGTGACCCCCTCCTGGAGGGGTCTAACTTCGCCTCTCTTAGGGGGATGGGCAGAGCGGGGCTCTGTACGGCCAAGCCTGGGAAGTTGGTGGCAGAGTCTCTACTGGCTGCATCTGAGCAGTTCAGAGCTTCCGATGGGAGACACAGACCCGAAGCACCCAAGCTGCAGTGCCCTGTGGATGTGGGACCCTCCCCTGGAGTCCCAGCCTCCAGCCCCGACTCACTTACCTATCACGGTGAGCCGACTGCCCTGCCCAAAATAAACGGTGTCCCCAAAGCACAGCCTGACGGTTCTGCTTTAAAACCTCCCGGTGGAGTCAGAGCGGTAATACAGAGGGTAGGGCACTTGCCTTGCACACAGCTGGCCCCGGGTTCCACCCCCGGCACCTCATAGGGCCCCCTCGCCCTCCCAGATGTGATCCCTGGTTGCACATCTTGGGGACAGCTGGAGGCGACTCCTCAAAACCAAACCAACAAATAAAGACACTCTCTTGCTGGCTGCATATGAAGAGAGATCGAATTTTGGGAGAGCTGGGGCCTCTTCCCTCACAAAGCCTCCATCCTGCCTTCCCACCCTCTCAGGCATCTAGAGCTTCCCCCACAGTCAGAGAAAGGGGCCAGTGGGTTCTAGGAACCCAGACCAGGAGACTCAGGGTCCTACAGAGCTAACGCAGAGGGCCTGTCACGAGCTTCTGCACTGGGTAGCTTTGCCCAGACAGCGACAGACCCCTTCCTCCCCGAGTTGGGTCCCGGCACTAGAGCTGGCATTTCCTCCTCAGGACCCCAGGGGTGGGCCGACCCCACCCTGCCCACGTCCCCAGAACACAATCCCCTTCTCTGTCCCCCGGAGACCCCCAGACTCACCTAGGACCGTCAGCTTGGTCCCTGAGCCGAAGGTGTAGTCATAGTTACACACCAGAATCGGGCCTCTCTAAAAGGGACTCTGTCGACCCCCGCTCCACCTCCCACTGGTCCCCCCGCCAGAAAGGCACAGGCCTGGGGCTTACCTAGGACCGTGAGTCTGGAGCCGCCTCCGAAGTAAAGCTCAGTGTTTGCACAGTGATGGGGGCAAGGAGGAAAATGCAGTGGGGGTGAGGAGAAGAAGGAGGATGCCCTGGCCGGCATCCATGGGCGGAAGTGCCTCCTGCATGCTTTAGATGTTGGTCCAAGAGCAGTTTCAACTTTCAACTCGTGCATGGGTCAGAGTCTGTCCCCCTCAGCCTCTTCATCTCTCTGCAGGTCCCTAGAAAGTCTGTGGATCAGAGAGGGACACGGAGCTCAGGGTCTAAGACAGGGATTCCAGAGCTGGGGGTCCCCAATGGCTTTCTTTAAAGAAGGGCCAAGAGAGATGGTAAAGCAGGTAGGACCCTTCCCTTGCATGTGGCTGGCCTGTATTCGATCCCTGGCACCACATAACGTCCCCTGAGCCCTGCCAGGAGTAATTCCTCAGTGCTGAGCCAAAAGTAGGCCCTGAGCACTTTTGAGTGTGATCCAATCCTTCTTTAAAAAAAATACAGGGAGTAAATAAAGGGAGGGAATAAAAGGAAAGAAAGGAAAAGGGAGGGAGAGAGAGAGAGGGGGATGGAGAGGAAGTTGGAGAGGGTCCTCTACACACAGCATTAGCTGGGTTCTGCTGGTGTTGCTGGAATAAGGGGGAGGTCACTGGGCTTCTTGTCATATCTGGAAGCTCCTCCTGGAAAGTCATTCTCACCGTGACCTTGTCTTGAGGTGGACGTGTTGGAGGCAGAGTTTGGAACTGTGACCCGTGCAGGAAATTGGAGGTTCTGGGAGCTGGGACCCCACAGGAGGTTTTTGTAAAGGGCCCCAGTGAAAGTGAATCACCGTGGCCCCCTGTCCCCACAATGTTACATCATTGTACAAAAACGACTCCTCCTACTACCCACCCCTGGCCAGGAAGAAACCCGCGGGGCTGCTCCGAGAGGCTGGACAGCTGGGGACCTCGTCAGCCTCCCACTGCTGTGGCCGGGTGGCAGCGCACAGCACGCAAGCCTCTCGCCCCTTGTGTTCACTCGCCTCTGGGCCTTGAGATGTGCCAGTGTGAGGCTGGTGTGGGGTGGGGGGCTGCTCCCCCATCTCAGCCCCTCTGGCAGCTGCCCTACTGGGGCGACCACCCAGTCAGGCAGCAACGCCCCTTTCCACGCGCGCCCCGCCCCATCTCTGAGAACCACGTGCCAGGGGCCAAGGACACCCGGGTCCCCAGTTGCTTTGTCTCTCCCGAACCTTCATGGTGTGGCCTGAGGAAGTGCCCTCGAGTTCCAGGGCAGAGCCTGGACTTGCTTCTATTTGTAAACAATTTTAAGCTTTTTATTCTGGTTGTTGAGGTTACTGGTCACTGGTAACCTAGTGATATGTATGGTCCCCATTTATGGTGCCCAAGACCTTCCACCAGTGTCCTTAAGTTGCTTCTAATTTGCTTCTTTGTTGCCCTCACCCTTGACCATCTTAGTTCTGTAATCCAAGGCCAAGAGTTTATCATCGTTCATTTCTTATTCTCTTGCTCTGTGTCTCTATATACCACAATTGAATGAGTTTGTCAGTGTCTGTGCTTCTCTCTCTGACTTTTTTCCACTTAACATGACGCCCTCCAATTCATCCACATTGCAGCGAATGACATGATTTTAATCTTTCCTTACAGCTACAGACTATTCCATTGTGCGTCTGTGGATACAACAACCTCTTCATTCATTCATTTGCTATTGGATATTGGGGTCATTTCGATATCCTGGTTATTGTACTAAGCACTGCAATGAACAGAAGTGGGTATCTATCCTTTAGAAATAATGTTTTTGTGTTTGGGGATCGAGGGAGATGCCAAGATGCAGAAGCGCTCGGTCATAAGGAAGCTCTAGTATTAATCTTAAACTAATCTAGTCTCTAGACTAAGGGGTGGGGAATGATGGAGAGGTGGAAGACAAAAGTGAGATGTCTCACTTCTCAGGGCGGACCTCCAAATTGGAGTAGCATAAGAATGCAGGGGATGGCTGCATGCAGCTGGATAAAGAGTGTCAGGAATATCCAACTGCCATTGTTGTATGGTAGAGCCTCAGACAACAAGCTTCTCCCTCTCCCTGAGAGGAATTTCTACCAGTGGAGGCTGTTGGTAGATGTTTCCTTTTACCACACAAGATGACCACCTCGGAAAAGAGCCTCCAATTGAGTGGTCTAGATCCCACTCACTTCACTAGTTGGTGATTTCTTTCATTGTTTTTCTTTTTAATTTTTTTATTTAAATTTAATCACCAACTAGTGAATGTGAGTGGGATCTAGACCACTCAATTGGAGGCTCTTTTCCGAGGTGGTCATCTTGTGTGGTAAAAGGAAACATCTACCAACAGCCTCCACTGGTAGAAATTCCTCTCAGGGAGAGGGAGAAGCTTGTGTCTGAGGCTCTATTTAATTTTTTAAAATTGAATCACAGTGAGACGCACAGATACTAAGTTGTTCATGATTGGACTTCAATCATACAATGTTCCAACACCTGCCTCTTCACCAAGGTACATTTCCCACCACCTATGTCCCCACTCCCTCCCACCCACCATCCACCACCTCTATGGCACACAAATTTATTTCTTTTCTCTCTCTCTCTCTCTCTCTCTCTCTCTCTCTCTCTCTCACTCTCTCCTCTTTCTCCCTCTCTGTCTCATTTTGGCCATTCTGATTTGCAATATTGACACTGAAAGTTTCTCATGTATATGCTTTTACCTACTTTAAACATCAGCTCTTGTCTAGAAGAATCATTTTCAACTATTATTGTCATACTGGTCTCTTCTCTATCCTAACTGCCCTTCACCCAACACACACTTGTGGCAAGCTTCCAACCACTGACCAGTCCCCCGGCCCCTGTTTTCCCTGGTTGTGGATATTAGTCTTATACTATTCTTTTTTATATCCCACAAGTGGGTGAAGTCATTCTATATCTGTCCCTCTCCTTCTGAATCATTTCACTCAGCATGATACTCGCCATGTCTGTCCATTTATAAGCAAACTTCATGACTTTATGTTTTTTCAGATGCTGCCTTCAAATATGAAAGAAAAACAGGGGATTTGGAGTAACAGTGATACACTTACATGGGACAGTGAGCACAGTCAAAAGCAACATGACATTATGGGGGAACATTTGTGATTCTAATAAGAAGGACTAGTGTGCTCTGTATTAAGCTCTTTGAAATAAATAAAAAATAATAATTAAGCAACCCGAAAAAAATGATAGAGCATGTGTTTTGGAAAAAACTATTCAAATGGTACATTATAATAAGAAAAACAGCCCCTTGCAAATGGGGCTTAATACACTGATGCTCAATCCTAGGCACCTCAAGGTCCCCTAAGTACTGCCAGGAGCCACCTCCGAGCACAGAACTGGGAGTAACCCCCAGTACTGCCCTGTGTGGTTCCAATCTCCCCCAACAATGAATGCAAAATAAAGCTGCATTGAAATGCCACTTTCTACTTATTTGATGGACAAAACCTTGAGCTAGAAGCCCTTCTAGTGACTTAGTATGTGGCCATGCTCTTTCACAGTTTATTGCTGGCAGAAGTGGGAGAAAATGATACAGAACTTAGGAAACAATCTAGACACTTCTGTAAAGTTTACAAATCCATTGACTATCCACCCAGGGATCCCATCTATGGAATTTTTTTTTCTGTAACTAATCTCGTGTGCACATTCAAAATAGTGTGTGTAAAATATTTACATTATTTGAGCTTGCATATAAAGATGGGGAAAAACCAAGTGCGCATTAGTAAGTGGCTGGATAAAGGGGCTGAACCAGCCACAAAACAGAATATTACTCAATGCAGGAAAGGAGAATATTGTGCCTGGCGATGGGAAGCTCTCTACTCATATTGGTAACAGTAGTATTCCTAGATGCTATCTTTTGTCTAAGCAAAGGAGGAAAATAAGAATGATGTTTTTGTTTTGTTGATTCTGCAGAAAGAAACACTGAAAAGATACCGGTGGACAAATGTGGTTCCCTATGAAGAATGACTAAGGTCTGAGGAGACAGTACAGGGTTTGGCATAGACTTTGCATGATTAGGACACTGGCTCAATCCTGGCAGCTACACAGGACCCCGTACACTGCTGGGTCTTCCCTGGAGCTCCTTGGGAGCTTCCCAAGGAACCCAGGTGGTCCCTGACACTGAAAGTCCTGAGCCATCACCACACCCCACTTGGGAGCACCCCTCCCCACCAAAAAGAGTAATTAAAAATGGCAGAAATAAGAGTGAATACATTTTTTAAAAGAATAACATCATGTTTTATTTAAAAATATTTTTACAGAGGCAGGAAAGATGGGATGGGGTGGCGGGAGGGATACTGGGAAAACTGGTGGTGGAAAATGGACACTGGTGGAGGGATGGGTACTTGATCATTGTATGACTGAAATGTAATCACGAAAATTTGTAAGTCTGTAACTGTATCTCATAGTGATTCATTAAAAAAATTTAAAAATAAAATTATAAAATCTTACAGATATTTGGGCTGGAGCAATAGCACAATGGGTAGCAGCAGGTAGGGCATTTGCCTTGCATGCAGCTGACATGGCCGACCCAAGTTCGATTCCTCCGCCCCTCTCGGAGATCCTGGCAAGCTACCGAGAGTGTTTCGCCCACACAGCAAAGCCTGGCAAGCTCCCCGTGATGTATTCGATATGCCAAACACAGTAAAAATTCCCACAATGTTACTGGGCCCATTTGAGCAAATCAGTGAACAATGGGAGGACGGTGACAGTGACAGATATTTTCTAAAATAAATAAATAAATGTTTTAAATTTATTCACCGTGAAATATACAGTTACGAAGTTGTTCATAATTGGGTTTTAGTCATACGATGTTTCAATACCCAACCCTTCACCAGTGTGCATTTCCCACCTCCTGTGTTCCCAGTTTTTCTCCTACCACTCCTCCAGCCTATCTCCTCTCTCTCCTTCTCTCTCACTCTCTCTTTCTCCTTTTGAACATGATGATTTGCAATATCGGTAGGTACCGAAAGGTTATCATGGATATCCCTTTAACCTACTTTCAACA